TTTCCACCAACAAAAAGTGAAAATAGGCACTCCATGTTGGGCCGGAGAAGACAGGGAACTTCCCCCAAACAAAAGGAGTTTTGGCAGCTGCTTTGGGAATATTCCTTAAAGTCCCTGTCCTGAGGTAAGCTAACCAGACAATTGGCTCAAATTAACCCAGGAAATGAATGATGGAGAACACCCCACATAAAGTAAGAGTCAGGCAACGTTCATCCAGTCTTTTTAAGATACATCCCAGATCTGGGGCACCTGGGTGGCTCAGTTAGTTAAGCGTCTAACTTCAGCTCAAGTCATGATCTTGGCATGAGTTCGAGCCCCACATGGGGGTCTATGCCTGAAACCTGCTTTGGATTCTATATCTTCCTCTCTCTCTCTCTCTCTCTCTCTCTCTCTCTCTGACCCTCCCCTGCTCCTATTCTGTCTCTCTCACTCACTCTCAAATATGAATAAACAAACAAAAAAGATACATTCCAGACCTGACACACAAAAAGCAAAGAGATAGTGACTTCAGAAAAAGAGGGAGGTATGTATAGCATCTGGACAGCCACCTGTTTTGTTTGATTTATTTTTGAGACCGAAACAAAGCATGAGCGGGGGAGGGGCAGAGAGCGAGGGAGACAGAATCTGAAGCAGGATCCAGGCTCTGAGCTGTCAGCATTAGAGCCCCACGTGGGGCTCGAACCCACCAACCTGAGGTCGTGACCTGAGCCGAAGTCAGACGTCCAACCGACTGAGCCACCCAGGCGCCCCTGGACAGCCTCCTGTTTACAAGAGAGCTGTGCACCTTGGGGACTGGGTTTCTATCTCTTATAGTCCAACAGCTTGGGGTGCTTTTTATTTGACTCCAATGTAGTGGGAGATAGCCTAAGAGGGAATCCTTTGGGATTGAGGAAGCTGATCCCATAGTCAATTCCCACAGAACGAGGAGAGTACATTAATTACCTACGAGTCCATTACCAAAATCCCCTTTTGCTTCTGAATGGCATCCCATCAGGAATACTGGCTCTAAGGTTTCTGGGATTCAGAGTGGAGGTAAGCATCCCTCTTTCTCGACTGCTCTGATTCCTTTGTACTCCCTGAGAAGGGATGTCAACCTCCCTCTGCTTCCCCGTTGCATTCTGGACTACAGCGGGTGCTGGTGCTGGTGAATGGACTGAAATGCCACAAAGATTGGGGCTGCCTCCTTCCATTTTGAAGGAACTGATGTATTCAGTGACCAATAATACCCTTTGTAAGTCTCTAGATCTAGTATTAATGGGTGGAGTAGAGGTCCTGGCCTTTAAGAAGGGGCAGCTATTCTCTATCAAGCATAACAAAACTAAGCTAGAACTACTTTTCAATCTGAGAGCAGGACTGGGAATGCCAAACAACCTCTGGGTAAGGGCAAATGAGAGACATGAGAAAATGAAAGTATAGAATTCCTATCTAATCCAGGCAATTTTCTTGTGAGTTTTAGCCATGATCCAGTCCCAAGGGAGTGGTCCCGTGTCGGGTGAGTGCCCCAAGTAAGTAATAGTTCTGACCAGTCCCTTTCAGGAAGCACACAGACAGACATATCTTGGATTTTATGTTCATGGAGGGATCACACTGCGTTATTTAGGAAGAAACCTGATACAGGAGTCTTAAGGTAAGCAGCCTTCCTAATGACGTGTATGGCCTTCCTGTGCCTAAGAATACAAGTTTTAACAGGTAAAATAGGGAGAGCCTGATGTTTCTGAGCCCAACACCATTACGGCCAAGGTACTGGGATCCAGCCAGGTGGCAGGAAGTTTGTCCCTCCCCATAGTGTCGCCATGGGCAAAAGGTTCTGTCCTGAGCATTCGGGAAAGACACGTTCCGAAAGGTTATACTACTCAGTACATCTCCAAAAAGGAACAAGTAAGAAACAAAGATTGGGGATAAAGATGACTTATCAAGCCACATCAAGGCACTTGGATTCATTCCATAATCCCCATATGGGCTCCCAAAACTGTGGGATCACTGAGCTCAGTCAGGAAGGAATTCTTGAGATGTTTTACAAAGCAACTTAGTAAGTTTAAGCAGCACAGGGACAGGCCCCTGGGCAGGAGCTGCACTTTAGTTGTATGAAGCTGGTGGTTATATGCTTAGTGTTCAACGAAGAGGGAATGTACATAGGTTATAAATGTTTTCTTCAAGTTTCTACTCCTAAAATACTTTCACAAGATGTCTCTGGTGCTTATCATTCAGCTCGATATTAACTGGGTGAGATGTACAGGCAGTCATGAGACCAGAATGTAGCAACTAGCATGTATTTGATCCTTATCAAAACTATGCAGGTGAGATGTCAGTCATCTGGGGTAATGGTGAACATTTTTCCATTCCCATCCCTCATCAGACTCACTTTTTCCTAAAGGAGGACACCTAATTTTATAATCACTAGGAAAATAAGTTTCATTTATTCAGATATTGAGTGTATTATATAATACGCACAAAGTACACCAAAACAGGACTGAGCCAAGAGGCTTAAAATCCATAAAATTAAAAAGCCTTTTATAAAAGTGTGGCAAGCACAGTCCTGGAGGTGTGCACAGCATGTCTTGGCAACATAGCAAGGAAACATCTAGCTCTTTGACTTGGAGACTTGGAGTGTTTGGCAAGACTGGACAGGAGAGCCTTACTATAAAGCTAGGGGACTACTGGCAGGGGAGCAGGCATTCTCCAGAGTCTCGAGTAACTGGAACTGTTTTACAGTATTTAAGCTTTCTCCTGCAACTGAGTCACTAAAAGATTTTTGACAGGGGAGAGACATAAGAATTACGCTCATCGAAGGCCCCAAGCCTAAAAAAGAATGTACATAAGGGGGCACATTTTCCTCATTATGCCTTTATTTGAAACTTAAAATATGTTACATTCCAATCCAGGCTAGTATAAGCCCCTGGAGAATGCCTTTATGCAAGTTTGACAGATTCAGTTAAATATAAAAGGAATGAAATTAAAGACTTGACTGACTCACCTGGTACTTAAGACTTGAGTATTCCAACTACTTGATCCATATTGATGAAGGGGTCTGGAATATGCCACTGTGGCATAAACGTTTTGAGTAGAAGACATTTGAGTTCCTGAAATCCTCTGCCTAAAAAGCAAAGCCTCCCGAAAGAACTCAATTGTCATAAATCCCCTCTCAGGGAGCAACCAGGGAAGATTATCTCATCACTAGTGATGACATAGTTGGCATGACACCTCAAGACTTTTCTCACAAAATGATTATAGTTACCATCCTTTTTCTTTAAGTCACGTGCTTCCGCATAACTGCCCTTTCTACCCCCAACTTCTGCTGTTAAGAAGTCATTTGTAAGTGTCTTTTACCCCTTTCCCCTCTCAAGATGATCTATAAGGCCCCAAATTCTTTTTTTTATTTTTTTAATTTTTTTTTTTTAACGTTTATTTATTTTTGAGACAGAGAGAGACAGAGCATGAACGGGGGAGGGGCAGAGAGAGAGGGAGACACAGAATCAGAAACAGGCTCCAGGCTCTGAGCCATCAGCCCAGAGCCTGACGCGGGGCTCGAACTCACGGACCGCAAGATCGTGACCTGGCTGAAGTCGGACGCTTAACCGACTGCGCCACCCAGGCGCCCCTATAAGGCCCCAAATTCTAACTATCGCTTTAAGTCGCATTTTTGTGAACTCCCTCATACTAAGTCCACCTTTTTTTTGCCTGTCTTTTGTCAATCAGCAGGCTCCCAAACATAGAATCCAAGAGGGTAGATGAAGTTTTTCCTCCCCAACAATTCAAAACACTGCCAGCCACTTGTTCTTTTTCTAATTATGTACTTTCCCCCTTTTATGATTTCAAAATAATAAAACTCCTTTGGCAGCTACTTCTCAAATTCAATAGAGCCTAAGTTAGAATTGGTTAAGTGTGCTAATTAAAAAAATAATTTTTTTTAATGCTTATTTTTGAGAGAGAGTGTGAGCGGGGGAGGAGGAGGAGAGAGAGAGAGGGAGACAGAATCCGAAGCAGGTTCCAGGCTCTGAGCTGTCAGCACAGAGCCCGACGCAGGGCTCGAACTCACAGACCGTGAGATCATGACCTGAGCTGAAGTTGGACGCTCAACCGACTGAGCCACCCAGGTGCCCCAAAATTCTAGTTTTTCTAAAAACTGATGTGACTTTTAATTCATGATGTTCTTGCTATCAGAAATTCAAAATGACCAAGCTTTGACCCTCTTTAATTTTTTTTTTTTTTTTAGTTCTGCTGAAAAAAAAAAAGTTCAAAACTACAAAAAAAAAATTCTTCACTAGTGATGGAAACAACTATTAACATGGTTTAGACAGTGGTTCTCAACCCTGGATAGGTTTTTCAATGCTGATATCCTGGCCCCTGAAATTCTGATTTTATTAGTTTGGGTAGGACCTGGCATGGTTATTTTAAAAATATAAAGTGATTTGAACATGCAGCCAAGGTCGAGAACCACTATAGTAGATATTGTAATTTCAACATGGAGCCTGACACAGGACTCGATCTCACCACCCTGAGATCATGACCTGAGCTGAAATCAGGAGTCGGTCACTTAACTGACTGAGCCACCCAGTCACCCCTGTACTTTTTAAAAATTACTTAAGTAATCTCTACACCCAACACAGGGCTCCAACTCACAGCTCTGACAAGTCACATGCTCTACTCACTGAGCCTGCCAGGTGCCCCTGTACTTTTTACTAAAGACACAAATTTCCTTTTCAGTTTATTTCTAATTGGCCAAGTTTTTACTCAGTTCACTAAATATTGATTTCAAATGTTTATTCTTCAAATTGGTTGTGCAACAAAGTCTCAAGCAAAGTGAATAAGCATCTTATTTATGACAGTGTTTTAAGCCACCTAATTAAAAGTATTATATAACTATTTGAAATTGAAACTGACAATATTTATAAAAACTTGTCATAATTATAGCTTCCTAAACCATGAGCAATTGTGGCTTCAACGATAACCCTGACAATGAGATTTGAGAATAGAACTCTTTCAATGATTCAAATAGCAAGTTCTGTATCATTTCAAATTCTTTATTATACATCATGGTTGCACAATTTGAGGCTGGTTAAATACAATTGGTTTTCAAAATTTCTTTGAATATTCCCTAATTACTACATGCAAGTGACCATGAAAATATTTGGCATTTTTAAATTTTGAAACTCTGAACAGGCACTTACATGAAGGAAAACATTACCATTCACAGAGAGCCACATTTAAAATAGATGCTCCAGCACATGGTACATGGAACCTTTTGCCAGTAAAGTTGGTTACTGACCATTTTATCAACAAAGTGCCACAGTAGTAAACAGGTTTAAAGAAATGTAATTTAGGTTACTTAGCTTACTCATAAGGTAAGGTTAACTGACAAGACTTGCGCTGAAGTGTATAAAAAAATATTGGTACAAAAACCAGTGAACCCTATGTGAAAGTAGTTTCACACAGCAGGCTTCATTTTAGTTCCTACACCCCACATTTAGTGTATCTGAGCTCAGACCCCATGCATATGAACAGATGACTGAAACCTTCTTTTTGGAGACTTTGAACTAATGACTTGAATTTAGTGTTAACAAAATTTAAACAGAGTGGGTGAAGTTTAAATCTGAGCTTGAACTAGCCAAAGTTCCAGCTTACCGAATATGAAATTGTCCAGATCTAGATAACTACATGCTTCACAGGTCCTCCTGAGTTCCCTATCCTCAAATTTTCCCCTAGCAAGGGAAGAGAATATTTGTGAAGGCAAGAATATTCTATTTGTATATATGTGGTAAAAAGATGCCTTAAATTAAAAAAAAATTCAAAGTATTTACGGAAAAATTATATAGTTCTAACAAACTTTAAAATGCCAACATAGAGTCAACTCAACATTGCAGAAAACATACAGTGGTAGCTGCTGGATGGCAGAGGCAAAAATAGTTACTTTATATGGCAAAAAAGAAAGAGAAAGAGAAAGAAAAGAAAAAGAGGAAAGAAAAGAAAGCGAAAGGAAGAAGGAAGGGAGGAGGGCGGGGGAGGGGGATAAGGGGGGGAGAGAAATAGGAAGGAAGGGCGGACGGTAAAGAAAGGGAAGAAGAGAAGGAGGGAAGGAGGGAAGGAAGGAAGGAAGGGGAAGGAAGGGGGGAAGGAAGGAAGGAGGCAGGCAAGCAGGCTTCGGGGAGATGCCACATAATCTCTTGGGAAATAAGTTTAACATTCACACCCCAGAAGGCTTCAAAGAGGATACAATTCAGGAAGCCATGGAATAGTAGACTAAGAAGCACCTATGGTGAAACACTCCATATGCCTTTCCCAAACACACATGTAGAAACATAAATGTAGTTCTCAAAAATACTGAGACACCATGTTTTAAATCTTTGCAGGATGTAAGGTCCACTCAATTTTTCTATTTTTATTTGAACACAAAATATTTAATTTTTTGCATGTAGAGAATAAGAGGTAATTATTAGCATGAAAAAGGAGAAAGTATTTATAATCAACATTACGAAGAAAGCAAATTACAAATACCAGCCTACTCACGTGAAAATCTTTAATGTTTATGTTGATGCATATCTGAGTGCTTATCATCAAATCAAAGTGTGCAGTAAAAAAAAAAGAAAAGAAAAAAAATGGCAGCTTAAGAAAGTTCCAGTGTTTCAAAGAAAGCGTTTTTTTTTAATGTATATACATGAAGAAAATTTAGTTGTATCATAAAATAAATGCAGCACTGTAAGATAAAGGAAGACTATTATAAATGGAGTTTTGGCCTTTTCCCCCCTACAAGCTGCAACCATCTTTAACCTGCTGAACGTAACCTCAATGGATATAGGAGTTTTTTTTCTTTTTTTCTCCTATTCAGTTCACATTTCAGGCTGTTCAGCAGATGCCTGGGAGTCTGGTGATTCAAATCGCTGGTGAAAGTTTGTTCTCTGTTTCCTCAATTTTTCAGGAGCTTTTCTCCATAAAATGATCTCCTAGTAAAACAAATGCAAGACATCGACAAATTAATATTCTCATATTATGCCTTAAGTTTTCACGATGGAAATAATGCCATTTCAATATTTACTATAACAAAATTAATTTTTCTTCCAACAAAAGCTGTTCTCTTTGCTGAGTGACCTACTTTCTTCCAATTCTAATCTTGGACCACCCCTTCTGCCAATCCTCCCCCCCCCCCCCCCACCACCATCAGCACCTATGCACACCACCACCCCCAATCCAGAGCACCACAGCACAAAGTTCTAGCTATTACTGCTTTAAATAATTCCTAAAATCTACCCTTTGGTTTGCTATCAATTGCCTTTATCCAAGTTCAAACCCTGTCACTTCAACCTTAGATACTTAAAAGAGCTTCTGGGTAGATGGCTCTGCCTCCAGTGCCTGAGGCCCCTTTCTAGCCCATCCTTCCAATCACGACTAGATTTGTCTAAAACACTGCTTGGATTGCACTTCAGGAGTTCTCAGCACCTCTAGGATAAATCTCCAACCAGCATTCAAGGTCCTTCTTAACCTTTATCCAACCTTTGCCGACATCACTCCTCCTACCAGCCAAAATGAGTTAACTCTCTGCTCCCAATGCACTCCAAATAAACCTGCCCTACAACTTCTATATGTTTTTCAAATACTCATTCCTCTGCCTATTTAATCTTACCCTAACCAATACATCCTGAGTCTCTTTTAAATTCCTAAAATTCAAAAAAATCCTATAATCATTTGCTTCATAAAGTCATGACAGGCTGTTTATGTTGGTTACCAAACATCCAAGTGAATGCCCAAGGGAAGCAAGGTACTTATTCCATAGGGCTACACATGCAACATTTTGGAAACTGTAAAGTTTATATAATCCATCTTGAGTTACAAATTACCTATGTTTAATTATACAGCATTACGGCAGTATCAATGCAAAAGTTTTTCTCTCTTCTAAATTATTGTCAAACTATTATTTAAGTTTTTTGTTAGTTAATTTAGGAGTATATCTAGGTGGCTCAGTCGATTAAAAGCTGACTCTTGGTTTCGTTTCAGGTCATAATCTCACAGTTTCTTGAGTTCAAGCTCCACATCGGGCTCTGCACTGACAGTGTGGAGCCTGCTTGGGATTCTCTCTCTGTCCCTCCCCTGCTCATGCTGTCTCTGCCTCTCAAAATAAATAAGTAAATAAGCTATAAAAAAAATTTTAATTAACTTATATAATTTTTCTTTTTCTGCACATATGCAATGTAAGGACCTTTAAGACAAAGTATGTTTATAAAAAGCAGTTTTTGTATTCTTCACGATAGCACAGAATGATTTCCTTTTTAAGTTTATTTATTTTGAGAGAGAACGCGCATGCGCACACATGTTCAAGGTAGGGAAGGGCACAGAGAGAGGGAGACAGAATCCCAAGCAGGCTCCATGCTATCAGTGCAGAGCCCAACTCAGAGCTTGATCCCAAAAACTGTGAGACTACGACCTCAGCTGAAATCAAGAGTCAGAGGCTTAACCGACTGACCCACCCAGGCGCCCCAGCACAGAATAATTTCTAATTTAGTTTTGAATGCTCAACTGACACTCAAGTATTTATTAATCTCATTCAGAATACAAAAGACCATTCCATTCACAATCTTCACTGAAAATTCACCAAAGGCTTGCAATTGATCTTCAAATGAGAACAAGTTTTATGATAAACATTATATATAAAAAAAATTATTAGATTTGGGTCATCTCAAGTACATTTACAACAAAATGGAAACCCAGAATCCATCAAGTTAATGCAATCATTCAAAGTGATAATGGAAATCTACATTTTTTGATAAAGGAAAGATATTCAAGACACTATTCAGTGAAAAAGCAAATTAAAGAACAACACACATAACATGGTCTAAATACACATATACAAATTTGTCTGGAAAACTTTGTTGACCTTTACTTCATTCTGTTCTTTACTGCCTGACTTTTTTTAACAAACAATAGGTATTATTTTTATAAAAAAATACAAAACCTTGGGAATGCAAGCTTGTGCAGCCACTCTGGAAAACAGTATGGAGGTTCCTCAAAAAACTAAAAATAGAACTACCCTGGGGCGCCTGGGTGGCTCAGTCGGTTGAGCATCCGACTTCAGCTCAGGTCACGATCTCGCGGTCCGTGAGTTCGAGCCCCGTGTCCGGCTCTGGGCTGATGGCTCAGAGCCTGGAGCCTGCTTCCGGTTCTGTGTCTCCCTCTCTCTCTGCCCCTCCCCCGTTCATGCTCTGTCTCTCTCTGTCTCAAAAATAAATAAACGTTAAAAAAATAATAATTTAAAAAATAGAACTACCCTACGACCCAGCAATTGCACTACTAGGCATTTATCCACGGGATACAGGCATGTTGTTTCGAAGGGACACAGGTACCCCATGTTTATAGCAGCGCTATCAACAATAGCCAAAGTATGGAAAGAGCCCAAATGTCCATCGATGGATGAATGGATAAAGAAGATGTGGTATATATATATATATATATATATGTATATATATATATATATACACACACACACACACACAATGGAGTACTACTCGGCAATCAAAAAGAATGAACTCTTGCCATTTGCAACTATGTGGATGGAACTGGAGGGTATTATGCTAAGTGAAATTAGTCAGAGAAAGACAAAAATCCTATGACTTCACTCATATGAGGACTTTAAGAGACAAAACAGATGAACATAAGGGAAGGGAAACAAAAATATAAAAACAGGGAGGGGGACAAAACAGAAGAGACCCATAAATATGGAGAACAAACTGAGGGTTACAGGAGGGATTCTGGGAGGGGGGAAGGGCTAAATGGGCAAGAGGCACTAAGGAATCTACTGAAATCAGTGTTGCACTATATGCTAACTAATTTGGATATAAATTTTAAAAAATAAAAAATAAAACAAGTTAAAACAAAAAAAATACAAAACTTCCAAGAGAAAAATAAAAACGCTGCCAAATGATAGCCTATTCTGGTGTTCTGCAGAATGACAGGGAACAAATCTATCCCAAATTATTCCACTCACACTTGCTTTCCTAGCATATTCATAGAAACCCCCACTTGCTCAGTACTATAAAGTGTAGAAAAGTGAGTACTTTCCAGTGTTTCTAGAACTGCCATAGAACAAAACATCAGCCTGGGTTGTGCCATACCTGCTGCTTGAAATACCTTCTGTCTTCCTCATCAACAAGGACTAGATTCAAGAAGTACCTTACTGAAAATTTTTTGTTCACATCTCTCATTGTTGGAGTTGGGTCATATCCCGCTAAAAATAATCTTATTGGAATTGATTCACCTGAAAGAAAAGCAATTTCCATTTAATTCTAAAGAAGCATTATAAAGAAGACACTAACACTTTAGCTCTTCATGAGACGGCAGCATAACAGAAAACTTTAAACCAGGGTTTCTCAGACTTAGCACTACTGACATTTTGGGCCCGATTATTCCCTGTTGTGGGTGAGGTCCTGTGCACTGTAGGAGTTTAAGCATCATCCCTGGCCTCCACTCACTAGATGTCAGCAGCACTCCCCAAGTGTGGCAACCAAAAATAACTCCGGACAACAGCAAATGTCCTAGGAGTGGGGGGGCCCCCCCGGGCCAAAGCAAAACTAGGCAAGATGAGAACCACTGCTCTGCAGTTGGAATACTGGATTCAGATCCCAGTTCTACAACCTACTGGCTGTGGGACGTTGGCCAAGTCACTTAACCATTCTGTTTCAAGTTCCTCATCTGTGAAATGTAGAATACCAATAATACCCATCTTGTAGAGACTTTGTAAGGACCATATGAGTTAATATATGTAAAAAGCTTAGAATGGTGCCAACAGATATGTCCTATTTTAGTAGTTTTGTTATTCTTTCATGAAGTTTACCATAATTTCTAACCACGTGTATAATTTCTTTAATACGAATTAACTAATTCATCCAAAACAACAAATGCGTTCAGAATGAGGATTGGTCATTCATTACCAAAAAGACTACTATTCGGATTCTCAAAGTTTCTCCTTTCCTAAGGGTAGCTATTTGCATATTCTGTTAAGTCCTTTTTATGTAATACTTTTCTTGTGCACATCTATTTCCTGAAAGATATATGACCTATTACTTTACATAAAAATTTGTGGCTGCTGAAATTTTACAAAATAATGTTGCATCACAGAAGTGCACACACACAGGTCTTGAAGCTAGAAAGGCCTGGGCTCTAACTCCAACTCTGCAATAATTAGCTATTGAAGGAAACCAAATTATTGCACCACAAAATCTACCTCTTGGACATAAAATTATTTTGAACTTCAGGCAATTAGGAAGCAGCAAAAAGCAGAAAAGGCTCCCCATTTTCTGCCTAAAGGCAGGATATAAATTCTCCTTTTAATGAAGACAGAGTCTTACCAGCCCAAGGATGGCTGATAAAGAATCCACAAACAAACCTTACTCCATTAGTTTCCTCCCATATATTTACCTTCCCACAGTCTACCCTAACTTTGGAAGCCTAAAACTGCTCTGCTTTCCCTTGTCTGGTCATCTCTCCAAATTTATTGTTCTTTTGAAGATGTTATATAAGCTGAAATTTTAAGCTACTGGTTTTTTTTTTAGTTTTTTTCAGTGTTTATTTTATTTTTGAAAGAGAGAGAGAAAGAATACAAGCAGGGGAGGGGCAGAGAGAGAGACACACACAGAATCCGAAGCAGGCTCCAGGCTCTGAGCTGTCAGCACAGAGCCCCACACAGGGATCACGAGCTCACGAACCATGAGATCATGACCTGAGCCAAAGTTGGACGCTTAACCGACTGAGCCACCCAGGCGCCCTGCCAGTGTTTTGAGCTATTTGTGTTGAGGTTTCTCCTTTATGATGTCCACTGCATCCATTAGTAAACTTTTTTTTTCCGTTATTTATCTGTCTCTCTGCTAAAGGGTCCCAGCTGAAAATCTAAGATGGGTAGAGGTAAAGTTCTGCTTCCCCTACACTGTATCACCTTTAACAAGTTTTTTAAAGCTCTTTGCATCTCAGCTTCATCTGTGGAATAAGGAATACCATCACCTAACTTAAAGGAAACATTATACCATCACCTAACTTAAAGGAAATATTAGAGCACCTCAGAGTATAATGCCTCATCTACAGTTGGCACTCAGTAAATGAAAGCTACTTTTTTTAAGTAATTACTAACAGAGTGAGAAAAAAACAAAGACATAAATTTAAAATGATAAATCCTGGGGCGCCTGCCTGGCTCGGTTGGTGGAGCACGCTACTCTTGATCTTGGGGCTGGTAAGTAAGTTCAAGCCCCATGTTGGGTGTAGAGATTACTTTAAAAAATAAAAAATCTTAAAAAAATAAAATGATAAATACTGGCTTCATTATCTTGGATACTGAAGATAATAATGGAACTGCTAGTTTTCTTGGATACTATAAGGACTACAAAATCCCACAGAAAACCCCACAGAAATTAATGCTCAGCTATACTGTAACTTGTATTTAATGAGTAAAAAAACGACTAACAGAAGACAATCAAAATATTACAAATTCAGAACTAGAGAATATATAAATGTCTCTTCTAAATACTAAATTTAAACTTAGTAAAAAAAAATCAAACCTTATTTCAGACCAGGAAATATCATTACAGTCATTCAGTATCTATACAAAGATGACCTTAAAAACAGTATTTTAAGAATCGTTTTAAAAATTCACAAATACTTCTATACTAAAAATTTTCAAACTAAATACTTTCAAACTAAACTTCCATGAACACATCTGCACTACCTATCACAAAAAGTAGTACATGGAAAGTATGTTATCTTACCTTTTACTGGTGCACCATCCATTATTTCGTATTTAGCAATTGTTTCTGTTTCTGTGGTGGTACTGGGTCCTAGCACAATAATGTAAATGACATTACGTTAACTATTTCCAGAATATAATTTCCAGCCTTATAACTTCGTATTTTCCAGCTACATTATTAATTTATCTTCCCATTTTGTGAAAATGTTATTCATCCTTTTCTATTTCTCCATGTACATTTATTTAATCTACTTATCACTCAACTGAATGATTCACTCCCTTCTTCCCAAACACATAGTTCAGAAAGAATATTCTTCAGAGTTCCTTCAATCATTTCTAGTATCTACCAAAATAGAAACTAACAATGCACATCAGAAATAACCACTGACCTGTTAGTTTTCTCTGCAACATCCAAATTGTTTTCTTTCATGACACAGAGAAAACATCAAACTGAGTACCTGATTGACATAGTTCTTTTAAATTTGGGTATTTATCTTCTAAGAGATTATTTGATCCCAGAGATTTTTAAAAAGTCAAGATACGGCAAGTGAAAAAAGTATACGAAAACATATATTAATGATCCCATTGTCCTAAAATACCCACAATATGCAGGCTACATCTTCTGAATAATGAGTACAGATTATTTTTTATTTAAACTTTTATAGAATCAGACAATTTTTATAACCAGAAAAAGTATTTAAATAATTTCTTTTTAAACAAAAAGGAACCCAACACTTTATTTTAATATCTTTAAATCACTTAAACTTTTATTAGTAGGTGAAAATGGAAATTAAGATATCACAGATGTTTCTAATTATGACTACAATTATAAATTCTTAAAAAGTGTCACCTAGGGGCACCTGGGTGGCTCAGGTGATTAAGCATCCGACTCTGGATTTCAGCTCAGGTCATGATCTCACAGTTCTGGGAATCGAGCCCCATGTCAGGCTCTGCGCTGACAGCACAGAGCCTGCTTGGGGTTCTCTCTCTCTCCCTCTCTCTGCCCCTCCCCTTCCCACATGCTCTCTCTCTCAAAATGAATAAATAAACTTACAAAACAAAGTGCTGCCTAAAATTATTTTCAGCAAAAATCCAACAAAGGAGACAAATCTATACACTAATTAAAATTAAAAAGCAGTTATAAATAATTCTGGGGCAACTGGTCAGCCATCTGGAAAAAACTAAAGTTGGATCCATACCTCATATCTTAAGACAAATTCCAAAGAAATTAAAAATTTAAACAAAATCCCCAAACTATATTATTTTAGGAGAATCAAACACAGAAAATTATTTTCAGAACCTCAGTGTGAAAAAGGCCTTTCTGTGGCATAAAACCTAGAGTCTATAAAAGGAAAAACTGGTAAATCTGACTACACAAACATCAAAAATTTCTACATGGTAAAAACCATCATAAGCAAGACAAACTGGGAAAAGTTTTGCTGCTTTTAATACAGAAAAAAAAAAGTTGATTTCCCTAATATATACAGAGTTTCTACAAATCAGTAAGAGACTAATAATAATACAGATGGTGCAAAGGATATGGATAGGCAGTGTATACAGAAAAGAAATAGCTTTTACACACAGGAAAAGATGCTCACCTTCATTCAGAATGAGAAAACTAAAACTACAATGGGGAACCTTCTTCCCCTACCCATTATGTCAGCTAAAAATTTTACAATGTTGTGTTGGTAAGAACAGGAGGAAAGAGGCACTTTTCTACATTCCTTGCTGGAATGTAGAACCCCTAAAGAAGACAAACTGATAATATATATCAAAATCACAAATGAATATACCCTCTGAAATAACAATTCAACTTCTAAGATTTTTATCTTGCACACACACTTGCACACATGTAAAATGACATTATTAAGTGAAGGAAATGACTGGAAACAACCTGTAGCAGACCAATTAAGTTCTATATATCCATAGAAAGAATACTATAAAAAAAGATGAGGAAATATTCTATCCACTGATATGGAGAGATCTCTAAAATATACTGCTAGGCGAAAAAGCAAAGCATGTATTGTACATAAACATTTAACTAAAAGCAGGGGGAGGGTATAATATAGAGGCACTTATTGTATATGTATAAATATCTAGAAGCATTTTAAAACTTATATGACCTATGAGCTGAAGTACACAGACACTTTTTACTGTATAGTAAAACTTTTTACACTTTATTTTTGAAACGTGTGAATTTATAACCTACTAATTTTGATGCTTTTTAAAATATTTATAAAAATTAATTTCTAAAAGGCATGATTATTAAACAATACTAAGTATCAAAATTTGTATCCAATGTGTGTATTTACTGTGTTTAAACAATATTTTAAGATTTTCAAATTTCAACTAAAACAGGAATTTTAATTCAAATATTTTTTTTGACTTACCAATTCCTGTGATCTCTTTTTTGATCAGTTGCAACTCCATATGTTGGATTTTTATTCTTACTAATAAAAAGTAAATTTTCCCAACAATCACATCCTTTAAATGATACCTTTGGGGAAAGAATATACCTCATTTACTAAATATCAGTTTAAAAAACAAACAAAAAGAATGAAATATGTCCTGAAAGGCTTTAGCAGACATCTTTAGGATAGTAACTATTTAAGAATACCATTTTGGGGGCGCCTGGGTGGCTCAGTCGGTTGAGTGTCCAATTTCAGCTCCATGAGTTCAAGCCCCACATTGGGCTCTGTGCTGACAGCTCAGAGCCTGGAGCCTGCTTCAGATTCTGTGTCTCCCCCTTTCTCTGCCCCTCCCCTGCTCATGCTCTGTCTCTCTCTCTCAAAAGTAAAAAAAAAAAATAAAAATTTTTTTTTAAAAATTAAAAAAAAAAAAGAATACCATTTTGACTCTTCATATTATTTAATGTTCCTTTTTTATAAAAAAGTATTTATTATTTTACTATAAAATTAGGAATCGGGGTGCCTGGGTGGCTCAGTCAGGTAAGTGTCTGATTTCGTCTCAGGTCACGATCTCACAGTTCATGAGTTCAAGCCCCGCGTCAGGCTCTGTGCTGACAGCTCAGAGCCTAGAGCCTGCTTCAGATTCTGTGATTCCTTCTCTCTCTGCCCTTCCCTGACTGACGCTCTGTCTTTCAAAAAATAAACGTTAAAAACAAAAAACAAAACAAAACAAAACAACAGGAATCAAGCTTTTACTTGATTATCAATATACCTCAAAGGAAGAATTAGCCTGATTAACTGCAGGTCCTTTACTTAGAGCTTAGTTTCCAAAGAACTTAAGCGCAAAAAATTAAAATTTTCATGCTTGCAATATTTATTTGGTGTATAATGATGTTTCTGAACATCAAAACTCTGCACAAGAGTTTAGTGTCCTTACTCTAAGTGCTAGAATAGCACAGTTAACAAAGCACTTGGCCATAAAGAGACTCCACAGGTTGAGTCTGCTGCTGTGATATCTAGTCATCAAAGACCTTTCCCAAGTATTCTGAAATAATGTGGTAATAAACCTAGAAATTACTACAATACCCAGAGGGCTTTTTAACCTTCTCCCAGGTTTGGATCTCAAAATAATTTCCAGGAATTGATCAACGTAATTATGTCAGGCTGAAGGGAGGCTTCCAGTGACAAGCTTTTAGGTCCTAAACAATTTGATAATTTTATTAATAATATGATTTGAGACCCTGAAGGCATGTCTATATCACATTTTTAGTGATATACACTGGCGAGTGACAAGTAATAAAAGTCATTTAACAGAAGAGTACACAGGAAGAGGATAAAAGTATACATCCATTTCTTCAACAAATAAATTTTAGTGGAAAAAAAACAAATTAAAAGAAATTTAAGAGTCAAACTACCAAATGAAATGTGTTTGGATACACTGGATTTGAACAAATCTTGTGTGGATACTGATTTGAACAAACCATGTGGGGGAAAAAGATATTTTATGAGACAATCAGGGAAATGTGAACACTGACTGGATATAGTATGGGTATTAGGAAACTATTAATATTTTTAGATATAACAGTATTACCGTTCTATTAAGAATGATACACAATTTTTATGGCTGAAATTCCATGTCTGGAACTGGCTTCAATATAATCTATGAGGAGTGTGAGGGCTGGATACAGATAAAACAGACCTGACCATGTGTTCATAACTACTAGAGCTGGGCAATGGGTACCTGAGGATTCACTACAGTGTCCATATACTCTGGTCTATACTTAAATTATTCCATATTAGTTTCAAAAGGCATTAAACAATAAACAAAACAGAAGCCCATTTCTGTAAAAATGCAACATTATATAAACGTGATATATACCTTCCCCTCCCCCATGGAAAGGTACACAAGAGAATATTAAATGTGATTAAGTGGAAAAAATAATAGGAGCTCCTGGGTGGCACAGCTGATTAAGCGTCCAACTCTTGATGTCAGCTCAGGTCATGATCTCACAGTTCGTGAGTTCAAGCCCCGCATCAAGCTCTGAGCTGATGGTGCAGAGCTTGCTTGGGATTCTGTCTCTCCTTCTCTTCCGCCCCTCCCCAACTTGTGCTCACTCTCGCATGTGTTCTCTTTTAGTTTTAAAAAGATAACTAGGCTAAAGTTATATCAGCCCAGTAAGGTAAATTTTTACATACATAAGGTATTAGTTGCCCTCTGAGATGGTAAGATCCTCTACAAAAATTGACTGGGGCACCTGGGTGGCTCAGTCAGTTGAGGATCCGACTGTTGATTTCAGCTCACATCAAGATCCCAGGGTCATGGGACTGAGCCCTGCATCAGGCTCCGCACTGAGTGTGGAATCTGCTTGAGATTCTCTCTCTCTCCCTCTGCCCGCCTCCCCAACTTGTGCTCTCGCTCTTTCTCAAAAAACAAAAAACAAGCAGAGACCTATTAGGAATAGAATACAAAAGACACCTGCACTGAGTTAGAAGATGCCAAAAGTTTCTTTCTGTTCAGAGATTCTACTGGGCTGTTAACATCCAATTAATGTCAATTCTATCCTTACCCTGACCAATTTACAAAGACCTGAAAGGCTTGTTAATTTTCCCTGAACATTTAAGTTATCTGTTGTTAAAGGTACTTACTTTGATTTATTATATTCAAATTCTATGTGTAGACAATCTTCAATGCCCACTTCCATCTTAATAGAGTTGTTAACATCAGGATATGTGGCAAGCTGGTGAACAATAAGATCATATTCTTTTACCAAGTCTGTGAGTCTTCTTACTATTGTCACTTTAAGAAAATACCTATGAAGTTAAAGGAGAGGGTAAGTTAAATCTCCTACCATAAATTTCAGTGTCTTCAATAAGCAAACATTAACTGCAACTCAGCTTTCCTCCTTGCTGATCCTTTGGGATCAACTTACTTCATTTACAAATTCAAATTTTTAAATGCTCCCATCAAAAAAATACAAACAACAAATTTAAGAATAGAGTACATACTTTTTTACACGCATTTGAAGTGCTATGGTCACACCTACTTGGGCAAATCTCTCTTTAGCACTTCTTAACCATATACTAAATGGGATTTGTTGGGAAACTAATGGATTTTGAGGTAATTCTGTTTACCAAAGAAAGTACCTAGGGGATGATTCATACAAAAGAAGTATATGACTAAACCAAACTTCTCGTGATGGGGTTCTCTAAATCTATGATAGAAGACTATTGTTACCTCAGATGAGCATTAGCTAGACAAAACAAAATATTTGGCAGAATTGCCTTTCAGTCCAGAATTGTAATTAGAAGTTCTAATGAGACATTCAACAGTAGCCATTACTTTCTGTTTTTGACACTATCTACAGTTGCTAATACGCATTCATACCTCAAGCGGACATTGGCACCGATGTAAGATTCATATGGCTTTTCAACTTGCATAAATTCAAAATCATAACTTCTGCTCTGAGTCAATTCTCCAGGCAAGGCTAGTTCTTTCACTAGGTTTACGAATTCGTGAGTATTACTCTTGTCATTGAAAAGTTCTAAGAAATTTGAAAAAGCAAAAACGACCAATTACATTTAATATCTGTTTCATTAAAATTCAAACTTCTACCTCCAAAGCAAATAATTTTTACCAAAATAATTAGTTGGATTTGTCTCTAATACACTAGAGCTATGATATAAATTCCATTATTCCCTTCATTATGCTCCACCTAGGCATAAAAAAATTCAAGCATCACAGCACAATGAAAATTTCTATTATTAATAACATATTCATCCCTCTAATGTAGAGTTTGCCCAATATGAAGCTGTTTTAATAGACACATTTCCAGCAATTATTTGAACCTCCTCCCCTCAAGGCAGAAAGCATTTATTGTTTTGCTTTAGTTAGGCAAATATATTACCTTGATAAAACTATAATATACAAATACAAAAAACTTTTCAACTATCAGTGAATTACTAAAATTTCCCCCTTCAAATATAATCTCATCTGGAATAGATACAGAAACAAGTATCTACCCATTCCAATTTTGACACTTTAAAAATGTACAGAAAAACTTAGAAAGCTAGATTTAAAACCCAGCTATGTATACTGTATTAGAAAGATCCATTTTCTTTTTTCTGAATCTGTAGTAGCAAAAGATTTATAGAGTTTAACTCCTACTAAATCAAGAATGCCTCTGAAATACATATATGGAAATATTTATGGAAGCTGATCTAAGTCAAGAAGAAATTACATCCCTCCTTTTCACATGGAATCTTCTGACAGGTGAGTCTGGCTACAGGCACACAGTAGGTTAGGAAGACAAATGGCATGGGTAATTAGAAAGTGAAGGATGAAAGTGACACTGGAAATTGTAAAGCTGGTGAAAGATGTAGGCAGATGGAAATTTCAGTAAGTCAACTAATTTTACTTGAATTATTTCTCAAGGCTGGTAGCTCACATAACTCCTTTCATTTTTAGTAACTAAGTTTAATAACAAATAAAGGCAGGCTGAGTCAAGTATCATTTAATACAATACAAAGAAACCTGCTTTAATGTTTACAAAACAAATCCTCTTTTATTATGCAAAATCAATTCCTTCCTTCCACAAAGCTAAGCTCTAATTCACGTATGTAAGTGCCAAATCCAACCCTTTTCAAACTCAGTTATCATTAAAAAAAAAAAAAAAAAAAAAGTAATACTATTTTAAAACTCACCAATTTGACCTACAAATTCAATTCTAATTCCTTGGTGCTCTAGCCTCTTTCCAGGTTGCTTAAAGGCTAGGTTTACCTGCCAAAACATGAAATTATAAAAGATGTTAACAATCCTTTGAGTGGGCCTACTAATAGATTCCTTCCAGATGAATGCAATATATAAGCCTTTCAGGTATTCATTTCTGAAGTTTGAGACACCACCACATACCTAGATCATGATGACTTTATAGCAGTAGAGAAGGTATAACTTATACAATCACTTATACATAAATTTAAAAGCACCTGCTTTGTTAGGAAGGAATCCTTTATAAGCTGGAGAACTATACTCAAATCAAAAAAAGGGAAAAGTTTCAACTATTCAAATGCGTTTTCCAGTCAAATAGTTAAACAATTCTACACAATAGCATTTTAATGTAAGGTAATCACTAATTCCAAGAATTTACTTAAAAAGATCATTTTCAGCTCTTAGTAACCAAAAATATATTGTTATAATTCCTAACCTTAAAAGCCATGTTTATTGCCCCTGAATCTGCTACTCACCCTAAAAACAGAATTTCTAAAGATTTAAATTTTGAGTATGATTTATCTCACATATTTTTTAAGTAAAATATATAATCGTTAAATTCCTAAATTCACATCTGCCAAATGGAAAACTTAATTTTATAAATTTTTAATTTGAATTGACAAAATATCCGTAAAGTACATACATATTAAGAAAATTTTTTTCCAAACATTAAAGGATTAGCTAACATATAAAAAAGCATACTTCCAGATGTATTCTTTACTATAAAAAATATTAACATGACTCAAAAAAGCATTTTTAATAATGCTTCTCAAAAGATAACAGTAATCAAGGGTCAATAAAAGCAGAGGTCCAATTACTTCTGTTTGAAAACTATATTAACTAAAATATTCATTTTTCTATATCTTCCATATCTGTAACCAGAATGAGTTAGTTACTTGCCTTCCAAATTAATATCTCAGAGAAAGAATAAACAAATTGTGGTACATCATATGATGGAATATTATTAAAGTTTAAAAATAATAAGATCAAAGAATTTTTAATGATGTGGGAAGATGTGCATGGTATGTTACATGAAGGAAGCATGGTCAAATTGTATGCAAGCATAATGCCAATTGTATTTTTTAAACTACACAAAAGAAATACTCTTAACAACAGTTACTTCTGGAATGTATGAGTAATTTTGTTTTCTTCTTTGTAGTTTTCAAGATTTCTTTTGTTGCTCTTTTACAATAGGCAAATAACACCTTCAAAGTCAGAAAAATACTTCTTGAAGGAAAAAAAATTAGTACTTAGAGGCTCCACATACACTAACAAGTTGAATTTTAGGTTTGAACCACAAATAAAACAAGCATAAAACTAGCATAAAACAAGCATACTCCCAGCTGTTTCACAAGCCAAGCAGGAATTAGAGCTATTCTCTTATACTAATAAAACACGTAAGAAGAACATACTTTTTAAAATGTCTATTTGGCAACAGGTTTTGGGAATGTCTTCATTTGAACATGGCTGTGTCTGGTATTTTTTAAATGTACAGACCTTCAAAAAACATTCTGAAACCCTATTATTAAGGTAGAAATGCAAAGTTATTTCATTTTCCTATCAAATTATCTAAACTCTGAAATTGTCCTTGATCTCCTACTGATGTCAAAAACAGTTGCTTTTTAAGCCTAATGCAAGATATTCTGGAATCTAAAGGATCCCAGAGTTAGAAAACATAATTAAGCATATTTAAAAGCTGTTCTAAAAGGGAGCATAGAAACATAAATTAAACTAGGATAGTGAACTGGGTTAAAAAGTTTTAATACTAACTGCTACAATTTTGTAACTTTTATTACAATTTCAAATTTACAAAATAGTTTTAATAACAGCACAAGGAAATTCCATATAATCTTTATTCAAATTCATCATGTTTATATTCTGTCCCATATGCTTTACCACCTTTTATCTCTCTATATATGTGCATGCATAGATACATAACTTTTTTTTCACAGTTGAGAATAATCTGGAAGCATCATGCTCCTCTATAATCTCTTACATAATCACAGTGCAATTATCAAAATCAGGAAAGTTAAAACTCCAGTTTATATTCGAATTCCAACAACTGTCCCAATAATGTACTTTATACCCTTTTTTCCTTCTGTCCAGGCTCTAATCTAGAATCGTAAGTTACATACAGTTATGTCTTTTTAGTCTCCTTTAATCTCAAACATTCCTCAGTCAATGCCTTTCTTGACCTTGATGTTTTTAAGAATATAGGTCACTTACTTTGTAGAATATCCCTCAATTTGGGTTTTGTTTGATGTTTTACCACAGTTAGACTCAGTTTATGCATTTTTGCCAAGAATATTGCAGAAAATGAAGTTGTATCCTTCTCAGTGTATCTTATGAGGAAGTACATGATGCCAATTGGTGATGTTAACTTTGATCATCTGGTCAAGGTGATCTACCAGGTTTCTCCAATTTGAAGTTACTATTTTTCCCCTTTGCTATTAATAAGTAATTTGAGATATGTGAGACTATGTGTATACGTGTAAAAGGCCATGAAAACAAAACATAAGGAAACAATCCATATATAAAACATACACAGGGGCAACTGGGTGGCTGAGTCAGTTAAGTGTCTCTTGATTTCGGCTCAGGTCATGATCTCACAGTTAGTGAGTTCAAGCCCCGTGTTGAGCTCTGCACTGACAGTGCAGGGCCTGCTTGGGATTCTCTCTCCTCTCTCTCTCTCTCTCTCTGCCGCTCTCCCCGCTCATGCATTCTCTCTCTCCTCTTTCTCTCTCAAAATAAATAAACGTAAAAAAAAGACCTATTCATCGCTCTAACAGGCCAATCTCAAAGCTCATTCTTCAGCATATAATATCCCGTAGATGTCTCAAATAATGCTGTCTTCAGGAGCTATGTAAGTGAAATTCATCTACACTGTGTTTAAGACAAACATGTATCAATTTCCACACCATTTATAGTATAATTTGCAGTTAATTACCAAGATATCTGTACTCTGTTGTTGCTGGATATTGTGGTTTCCCAAAATTAGTTTCAACTGCTGCCAGAAGAATAAAGTCCATATTCTTGAAAGATACTTCAGTAATATTCTTTGTTTAAAAAATTAAACTATAAAGCCCTTAACCTCAGAATAAACCTCTGTTCACTTTTGTAACAAGGAATTCAGAATTCACTATGGGTGGCTTGGTAGACAAGCTTGAATTGCTTCAAGACAATTTACTTATCACTGATCAATCTAAAAGAATGTTAAGGAATTATACCTTATGAACCCACCAAAAATATTCCCAGAAAAATCACTATCAAATCTTTCACAATTCACAATTTTCTACAATTACTGTACCTAGTAATTTAAATTAATAATAAACAATAATTAAACAATCAGTAAGACTCTCAGAATTACTCAGAAGGCCTAGTGATAAAGTTGAAATTAATTTTATTTATTTTTCATTTAATTTTTTCAATGTTTATTTTTAAGAGCACACGTGCGTGCAAGTAGGGAAGGGGCAAAGAGAGGGGGCAGAGGATCCAAAGTGGGCTCTGGGCTGACAGCAGATAACCTGATGCAGGGCTCAAACTCACGAACTGTGAGATCATGACCTGAGCCAAAGCTGGACACTTAACCAACTGAGCACTCTTCCTCTCTCTCTCACAGTAAATTAATAAACTTAAAAAAAAAAATGAATACAATTCAGAGAACAGGAGAAAATATTTGTGAAACATAACTGATAATGGACTTGTATCCAGCATATAAAAAGAACTCTTGTAACTCAATAAAAAGACAACACAATAAAAAGAAAAAAAAAATGGGTAAGAATAGACTTTTCTCCAAAGATATACAAATGGCAATCAGCACATGAAAAGATGTTCAGTACTAGTCATTAGGGAAATGCAGACCAAAACCATGAGATGAGATAGCACTTCATACCCACTAAGATGGCCATAATAAAAAATACAATATTAAGTAGTGCCAAAAAAGTGAAGAAACTGGAACCCTCATACATTGCTGGAAAGAATGTAAAATGGTGCAGCTGCTTGGAAAAGACTGGCAGTTTTTCCAAAAGTTAACACAGAATTAACATGACTGAGCAATTCTACTCTAACGTATATACATCTAAGAGAAATGAAAACATATATTCACACAAAAACTTGTACACAAATGTACAGCATTATTATTCATAACAGCCAAAAAGCAGAAACCCAAATGTCCTCAACTGATGAACCGGATAAAGGAAATGTGGTATATCCCTCCATATTCCACATGGATATATATTGGAATATTAACCATAAAAAATGATGTTTTGATACGTGCTACATGAACAAACCTTGAAAACATTATGCTAAAGGAAATAAGGCAGACGCGAAAGGGCAAATTTTGTATGACCACCTTTAAGAAATAACTACAGGGGCGCCTGGGTGGCTCAGTCAGTTGAGCGTCTGACCTCAGCTCAGGTCATGATCTTGCAGTTCGTGAGTTTGAGTCCTGCACTGGCCTTGCTGCCCTCAGCACATAGGCCACTTTGAATCTTCTGTCCCCCACCACGCCATCCCTTCCCTGCTCACACTCTCTCTCTTAAAAATAAATAAAACATTTAAAAAAAATAACTAGAACAGGTAAATTTACAGAAAACAAAGTGGACCAGAGGTATCCAGGGACTGGGAGAAAAAGGAAATGGCTAGTTATTGTTTGATGGGTACAAAGTTTCTCTTTGGGGTGATGAACAAATTCTGTAATGGTTGTACAACTCTGGGAATGTAGTTAATGCCACTGAATTGTACTTAAAAAATGGATAAAATGGCAAATTTAGTATATTTTTTTTTTTACTAACTTTTTAAAAAGGAATGAACCCTGAAAACATCACATTAAGGAGCTAGACACCAGAGGCTATATATTGTACGAGTCCATATATATAAAATATCCAGAAAAGGCCAATCCATAGAGAAAGAAAGATTTGTAGATTAGCGACTGCTAGGTGTCTCAGTCCATTCGGGCTGCTATTACAAAATACTGTCAACAGGATGGCTTGTAAACAACAGGAATTCATTGC